TATGAATAGATTGGAAATAGACTCGTTAGCTTGAATTTGGTTGCGAAGATGATACCTTGTCTGATGATGTCCGTCATATGACGGAATCGAGTGAGATTGCCTCGGAAACAGCGTCAGCATGAATGTTCCAGTAAAGCCAATCGACAGCTGTTCAAGAGGACTGTGCTTGTCATTGCCATGCCTGCGGACATTTAGCGTCCCCTTCACTCATCACCTTCTCGATCAAGCCTCCCGCAACGCGATTTCTAGGCACGTTGGAGGTGCAGTAGAGACCAGTTCAGATAAGTTCAAATTGGCAATCTGGGCAAGTCGAGTCTCGTCTTGAATACCGTTTGGGGGTCAGGACTAAGAGAAATTTAATGGTATCCTGAGGTTTAGACATATTATTGTGTGAAAATTCATGCCCACTCGTTGAACACCTTCCGCAACTTGAGATGGAGGTCAAAATCTTCTAATAGTCTCGCAATCCATTTCAACTCGTCTCAATCATTCCGCCCTAAAACAGTTAGTTTCATTGCGATGCAAATGAATTCAAAGATGCTCAATACATTACACACAACCTTGCCTCTCAAAAGCTATTCTCTTTCTGTCACGAGTGGACCACACTTTCGACCTCGCCTCAACTCATCCCATCAGCATCCCCGACGGGACTCGAACCAGGGTTGGTATAGTGTGACGCGTCCATCACAACTACTAGCTTCTAGCGACTTTAGACCACAGGGCAGTTGTGGACTTCAAGGAAGGCCAGGCAATTTTCTAGATCACTTTCTGTGTTAGGATCACTGTTTTCTATTGAAACTGACTGCACTACTTATTTTCGTCTTATGAGTAGGTATTCAAGACTATCAATCGATCATATATTTAAGATGTGCTCGATCTATTTCGTCTGAAGTGATGAAAAGAAATTTGGTGAATGCATTTCATGCATGTGATCTTCTGGCAGACACGTAATCGGACAAAGTGCACTTTCCCGAAAGATCACATATGAATCCCTTTCATTTAGACTTCCCCATCAGGCTGGCCAATCAGAGAGCGAGAAACCGACTCAGGTCCCCTTGCGACAACATATTTCCAAATGTTACTTTTCATGTTTGCTTTGCTCTCTTCATCACTTCGTGTCTCGTGCATAAGCGAACACAAACAGGCGCATACACACACAGAAACAGACACACTCACAGGCTTCGAAGTTGACATATGACCTTAGCCAACCAAATTACTTTATACTTTATTAAAGAGGTCAGATGTAGAGTATGTATACCACTTTTTAGAAATTTTTCCCTAGAGTTTTCTTGACTCGTTAGCTTGAATTTGGTTGTGATGATGACGGACGAAAGCTCAGCACCTTTTCACCGGAATCGAACGAGATTGCCTCGGAAACCGCGTCAGTATGAATGCTCCAGTAAAGCCAATCGAGAGATGGTCAAGTGGAATCGGCCGTCGTCTTTTGGTGGAACGGACCATCGAATCTCTTCACCGCACACTTCCACTCGAAATGGAAGTAAGCTCAACAATCGCGCTCTTTCGCCTCCCCATTTTGCATTTATCTTGTCATGCAATGCCTTAACCTTTTGCTAAATGTGCAAAAAACTGTTTTGCAGGAATTCATTAATCAAATTGTGTCAATGTTTCTTCCACCATTCTGTGATTCTGATGCGTTGAAGAGGTATTTGCACAAATCTTCAGTCACCTCCGGTCAAGGGCCAACTTATCAACCCTCTCCATTCGTGTCGTGAGTCGAAACGAAATTTCGGCAAACTTCTCCACCAAAAGTGGTAATCGAGACGGGCGCGCGGGACGAGATTGTCGAATTGGTGCGAGGCCGGCTTGACGATGGTGGCCGTGAATTGAGACGGATCCGAGGCAGCAGTTGTCTCGGCCCGGCCTTGACGACTCGTCGGGGCCGGCGTCGCGGCGACCGGCCAAACGGAGACGAAGTGAAACGGCCTCGAGGTCCGGCAAGTGGACAAGTTGTTTCGTCTGTCGGCCGAGCGACGTCAACTGCCAGGCCACTTCAAAGGCTCCCGACGAGAGGGTGCAATGGGAGAAATGGGAGAAA